TCAGGTGGAATTTAGTCCTTTTTTTTTAATGTAATGAACGATTGTCTCTGCCAACTCTATGTTGTTTTATTCACTGTAGAATAAGCTCATTGTTTCCCTTTAAAAAACCACGATAAAGCATCTTATTCCTGTGGTACTCTTCCTAGATTTGCTGATATATAAATTAGGGGAAAAAAATCACTAAGTGATAAACAGGTAGTGAACATTATATTTAGCACTAAATTTCAAAGACTGGAAAATGTCTGCATCTGAATGACTTATTCTTTTGTGAGCCCCAAATCATTCCATGAGTATAAAGTCAAAACCCCAGTGTTCTCCATGTCCATTTCATTAAATTATACTGCTTTCCTTTTTTAAAAAAAATGCCTTAGGCACCTTAGCTGATAATTAATCATTTACATCTCAAACGATTCCACCACAGGATTTCGTTATTTATCTATTCATACAATCACACTGAGGACTTTCCTTTAAAGGAAAAGATATCCTTAATACTTTTGATGATGAAGATGACACTCCTTAGATAATTAATATTCATTGGTAGTTATAAGACACTTATCTTGTCTATATTTTTTTTACCCAGAGAGATTTATGAAAGCGTTAGCTGCTTAAATAATCCCCATCCCCCACGAGAAAAAAACATTTCATTTACCTGACTAAAAGGCAACGGTTTGTAATATATTAGACATGTCTGAAGTTAAATACACACATACATGCATACATTAAATTATTTTTTAAATTATTTTAAGAATTGAAATAAAAATTAAGAACAACATATGTCTAGAATAGTGGTTCTCAGTTGGGGCAATTTTGCCCCCCGGGATGGACATTTGGCAATGTCTGGAGACATTTTTGGTTGTCACAACTGGGGACACTGCTGATATCAGGTGAGTAGAGACCAGGGATGCTGCTTAATAGCTTATAGTGCACAGGACAGCCCAGCACAAAATAATAATGATGATGATGATGATGATGATGATAATGATTATCTGGTCCACAGTGCCAACAGTGACAAGTTTGAAAAACTCTAATCTATATTTATTAAAGTTCAAAGTTTTTTCTAGGTGGTTGATTTGGTTTAGGCACAGGTAAAGTGAGTTTGTTGAAATAGGTTGGAGAAAAAAATATCTTAAGGAAAAATATTTCACTTTCAAATATGTAATGGTGAAATTAATAGAAGTTTCATCCTAAAATTAGTGAAATTATTGGAATTTCTTCTTACCTACCAGTTTTTGGAGGATCCTTAGCAGCTCCAGCTGGCAGCTATACCAATTAGCTAGAAAAAGTATATGTAGACAAAATGATTAACTAATGAAGTTATTTCAAGAAAAATCCATCTGTTAGAATCAGTCTATGTGCTATATGTCACAGACTTCTCCATTCGACTCCAAAATGAGCTTTGTGTGCTTCTAAAACAAAGCTTGTACATGGAAAAGTGATCCAGGCTCTTTATAACTTTTAGGGATCCAAGGATTGAATTCCTGCCCAGGTCCTATTAACCATATAGCGATTCTTCAGAGAAAAGGCATACCCTGAGTGACATTAACTTCTATATTTTACTTTACATAAATGGAAGGGAGGAAAAAAATGCAGGTAGTACAAGTAAATAATCGAATGCTGTTTACTTTTGACTGTGGAAGAAAGTAGAAAGACACTATCAGATGCTAACAAAATCGTGTGGGCTCTTAGAATCGTTCTGTAATTCTAAAAGTAGATCTGAAATTGTCAATAATTGAGAGTTAACCTACAATTACTGTTACAGTACACTCAGAGTTACAGAGCTCTCCCCTTCCCTCTCGCCAGGTAGAATTTGTAGATGCCTGCTGATTCCACACGGACAGAGTAAGTGGTGTGAAGTAGTAATATAACATTCATGATTCCTGAGTCTCAATCGGTGTTTTTTATACACTTCAGGAATAAAAGACTGGTATTTCTATTCTTCATACCTCTCTGGCTTTACTGGAAATGTCGGTTTTGATAAGTTTTTGGTATTTAATTTAAATCACATACAATCTTTGTTTTAATTTAAAAATCTATGTCAAATTAAATTTATGCCTTTAATTCTTATTTTTAATAATCTATTAAGGATACACCTTATTTAATATTTTCACATCTTAAAGGCTGACACTTCTTGATGAAGATTGGGCAATAGGAAAGAGATACAATGAAACAGTAGTGGTAAACTACAAATTAATTTCATTTCACTTTACAATTTTCTAAATATGGCCTTCACGTTAATTGTTCTAGGAAACATTTTTTTTCCTATTCAATGGGACATACCTGTTGTTTAATTGTATATGAAGACACTTAATAGTCTCTCTAATTATAATAATTTTATTTGATTTGGTTATTAACGTTTTTTAAAGTCGTGCAGAGAGATGGAGACTATGAGGCAGGTAAGCAGTGATGAATTTGTATTTTATTGCTGTATATGTTTGTGTTTGCATGAGAAGTAGGTGAAGTACAAATATGTTTTACAGTAAATTTGGAGGCTTACATGTTATTTTTCTACCTATCATTTTTATCTTTCTTTTTATCTTATATTATATATCCTCCAATTTGAATTTTTACAACACATAAGTCATGAGTGGACAATTTTATTCTGATAAATCAAAAGCCATGAATCATAGAAAATAATAGCCAGAAGTAAGTAAGAAAAAGAGAAAATTCTCTTTTTCTCCTAAAAATAAATATTGTAAATAAAAAGGTTTAGCGTATTATTTTTAATATAGATGCATGAATGCATGTTCCTATGAAAAAGCACAAGGTAGAGTGAAGAATACAATTAAATTTTATAGTATACTCAAGGAAGAGAATAAGACAAAAAGATATAAGTAGAGAGATATGAATAAAAAAATTTAAAGAAAAATGGAAAAATGAAACAGAAAAGAGAAGACACTAATCAAGAAACTAAGGCACCAAGAAAGATACAAAAGAAATGTACACGCGGGGCAGGATGGACCAGTAAACAAACACTGGCACCAACATATGAAGAACATGTGAAGGTACACATAGAGAAGGGGTGTGAGACAACATAGCACTAAAGAAGAGGCAAAGGAAGAAAAAAGAAAACGCAGGCCCATTCATCTGGTATTGTTATTTAAAAAAAACAAAAAACAAAAACAAAAACAAGAAACAAAAACGGTGGGTTGGCATTGCCAAAGAGCTTTGTCGTTTTTTGACAATATTCCATAGTAATGGAGATATACAATTTTCTCCTGTTAAATATCATCTTTCAGCCTTTAAATACTCCAGTTTACTCTTAGATGTTATATTTTTCTATTTATAAATCGGTGTTATAGTTCTGATGAAATAAAGTTGGAAATCAGAGGTAACCTTTGCCTTTACATTCACTTTCTTAAAACAACAACAACAACACAAAAACAATAACCCAAAACAAACATGCAAACAAACAAAACAAAACAAAAACACTACCCCCATACTCCCAACTCCAGTTTACTCTTAGATGTTATATTTTTCTATTTATAAATCGGTGTTATAGTTCTGATGAAATAAAGTTGGAAATCAGAGGTAACCTTTGCCTTTACATTCACTTTCTTAAAACAACAACAACAACACAAAAACAATAACCCAAAACAAACATGCAAACAAACAAAACAAAACAAAAACACTACCCCTATACCCCCCCCCACACACACACCTTTCTCCTTTTTTAAATTACTTAAGGTCTAGTGATGCCTAAAATATTAGGCATTGGTAGAGAAGCCACTGATCCAACTTACTCTTATTTTAATTCATTTTTTAAAAGAATTTAAAATGTATAAAACAGAATGATTCTGGAAAAAATCTTTTAAAATATATTAATGTATTTATATATTATCCCACTTTTAGGAAAAAAGGAAGAGTATCCTAACTTAATGTATCCATCTTAACGATCCAGGCTCATTATTGTGACATCATTTTATTGCATGCCTAGTATGTGCTAATGCACATAAAGTGTCCAGCAAGGTGATCTGCATAGGGGAGGCTTCATTGTCCTTGATCATTTGTAATAGCAGTGGCACAGTAACCATAGCTTAGTTAATGCAATACTAGGATGTCCCCAGGGGCTTCGGAGGTGGTATAGCTGACTGGCTCTCTACTACTATATTATTTAAATTCACTTAAATTCTTAACATCTGTGTCTTGTGGTTTTCTTGTCTCCTCCCTTTTTTTCGGCTAGTTTTGTTGGCAGGTATGGCCTCCCTTCTCTTCCCCCGCCTCTCTCCGTCACCTGTAATTCTTTTCCTCATTGTATTATCACACCATGTGTCAGTTGTGGGCCAGGAAACCAGACACCCAAACTTGTGTGAGGAGATTCTCATCTAATTTAAGTGTTTGACCTTCGATGTAGGGACTTGGTGACCTTTACTTTCAAAGGCCACTTTTAACTCATTTACTAAGTTTTAGATGACATTCCTGACTCATATCTGAGATGGTCAGGAATATCAACTTTCCAAGAACTCAGCTGTCCTGGGAAACATGAAGTGAATGTTGTTTTATTTTAGGAGAATCTACTAGGAGAATCTACACATTTTGATTAGCCTATTTAAAATATTCTCTTTTTTTTTC